CCCTGTGTTTGTCTCAGTCATCAAAATGCAAAGTTTGTGCTAAGAATAGACACGTTTCCAGTGTTTCACCACCATGCCAAATTTCTCATTGATCTTGTCTTTGTCTTTGTACTCACATTTCCTTTTTGTGAAGACTAGTAGACTCCAAAGAGCTTCTTCCTCAAGGTCTTTGGCTGCCTAATGCAAGCAGAGGTCCAGTTTTTTGAGTCTTGATGACAGTTTTGTTGATGAGCTCAGCAGGCTGTTTAGCTACTTTTTCAACATAGGAGCTATATCTCCAAAACTGAAATCTGTGGAAGTTGACTTCTTTGTAAGCATGGTAACATGCATGTTATGTGTTTAGTCTGCTAAACCATGGTGTTCTAGGATGGTTGTTGTTTCATTCGAGCCGTTTTCCTGTTGTACACTCTGAATACGGTGGGAGTATGGGGAGTCGCTGGGTTTCTAGGCAGTCTCTCTTCCTGATTCTGTCCTTTCTCTCTTTCTCTCCATCGCTTGTGTGTGTACACGCGTGTCTGGTGTTATATGTGGATGTGTGGTTCCCTCTGCTGTAGAGGGGGAGTATTGCCCTTGGAACAGAGAGCTGCAGCAAGGCCTCTGGCTTCAACGTCTCTCAAATGAAGAGGACACGGGTACATTTAAAGGTACCCATATACAATCTCCACTTCCATTTCCCCAGAGGAGGGGGGAATGTTTTAAAGAGCAGGTCCCACATGAGAAGTTTCTGTGTTTTATTTAATTGTTTTACCAGCTCCCTAAAAACTGATTCCGTAGCTGTTATCTTCATCTCCTAGTCCAAGTGCCATATATTAGATCTGACACTGCCACTGGTTTTAGGAAAAAAGATAAAGCTGCCAGGTAACCCAGGATCTCGAGAAAGCCTGGGCAATTTGCTACTGTGATGTGCATGAACAGCAACCCCTTTGTATTTAAGAGTTTCAGAATTTTTACATACACACAGACTAATTGCACCTGTGCAATGTGTCAGACACACAGGACACATCAGAAGTTCTGCCTTTAGATTGCTTGTGTCAGCAAACGTGCATTTTTCGTTGTTGTCCTTTGTGAGTCTGTGTCTGTGGGGGAATCTAATCAAGCTGTGTCGATCCCTCAGGATTTTTCAAACCATCATATAATGGCATAAAATTAATCTGACATTCCGGTCTAACTGGCTGTATGATTTTCCATGATGCATTCTCTTGCAGCTTATTTCTGATGGTTTTTTTTTCTGAAGCACTTGTTTCTAATAGCTTGTTAATCCCTTGTTCCCTTAATGTGGTTCATTAGAGCCAGAATGCATAAGAGGAAAATCCAAGTGCCTTCCTACAGGTAAGAGGGCATATGCAGTTGTCAAACTGAATATTTTGCAGTTTGTGGTTGTACAACTGTAGCTTAGCTTCTAACTTCTTTTTTTTTAATTAAAAAAAAAAAGAAGAAGAGGTATTTTTTTTCCGATTTAATGAACAAAGGAGAAGTATTAGTAAGATGGCTGAAGAGAATAACTGAAGAAGTTTTCCCTGTTGCAGTTGCTAGACCTGGCTCCTAACGAGTTGATTTGCAGGTGACTTCTTATTCCATTAAAGTTAGACATTGAGACTTGTCTGCTGCTTATGAAGTGCTGGTAGGTGCTATAGTGGAACTGGAGGTGAAAGTTACCTTTCCAAATGTAAGCGTAATTGATATCCAGCTTCCTGGAAAGCTTAACAGGCAGCCTAGAGGGAAAGCTACAACTTTGAAATTCTCAAGCATTTAGACCTCAAGAAAACATTAGGTTTGCCTGTTAGCCAAGCAGCAGTCCTTTGTGGCTGGCTGTGTTGCTATTTTTTACTGGAAAAGGTGAGAAAGATCCATATCCTAAGCAGGACAGGGTCAAGCCTCTGTCTAGAGATTTGTGGAATAACTGAAGGTGTGTATGCTCTACTAGTCTAAATCCCAGAGAAATCTGTTTTAAAACATGCAGATCACGTGGGACCTGCTCTTTCGAGCCTTGCTCAGTGACTATATACTTCTCAGCCATTGCTGGCAAACCTAAACCTTTTAACACGAAATTTTGTGTGGCGATGCAAATGCTAACTCTACTCATCTTGGGGCCTGCATGCAAGTGCTTTGGTAATGGAGTTAGAAAAGCCCAGGTTCCTGTCCCTGCAGGATGTCCAGGAGCTCTGGTGGACCATGTGGTTGTGCTAATTGATACGAAAACTCTCTGATGAGGCAACAGACATAAAGCTGCTAAATATTGACTAAATTGTGGATCCCACTCTGCATATGAGTTTGTGCGTCTGAACCCTTTTCCCCTTTAACAACCAGCTGATGATTCTGTCCTTCCTGCAGTTCCTTCTGCCTATTTCTTCTGCAGTTTTAATGCCAAATCTCACACATAGTCATTCCTGAAGTCCCAAACACTTTGTCATGTCTGGGGAAAACATGATCAGGAGAGAGGAACTTCATTAAAATGAGACAGCAGGAAATAATGAGTGCAGCCTCTAAATGCTGCTAATGTTACTTGTTTTCTTCAAACATGAGTGCACTGTATGAAAATCTTAACTGTTTTTAAGGTTCTAGACGGCTGAAACAGTGTTTTGCCCCACTCAGTGGTAATCCAGCTGTTGTGAAAATTGACTTCCTACTTTATAAAGTGAGTGGGCATTTTCCTTTCAGGATGAGTCATTTGCTTTTGAAGATCACTCCTGCAGATACTGAACACCTCTCTGCTGTAGAATGAGTTATTTTATTATGGATAAATAAAACCTGAGCTGTAATCCCGTAGTAGAGACAGAGTCTGTGAATATACTACCTCAGAGTAGATGCTCCCCAGGTGAGTTTTCTGCAGCAATTAAATAAGTTGCTTGTCAGTTGGTTTAGGTGCCCATTTTTCCCTTTGAGACTCCGTAAGTAGATGAGCTTTGGGTAGGTGATAACTGAGGAGTAATGCAGTTTCTTTTAAACAAAGTTCATTTGTATGACAGGAAGTCCCTTCTGGGGAGGTGAGACAGCTGTTAAGTCACCACGAAAATGCTGTTATTCTTAAAAAAAAAAAAAAGAGTTCTACCCTTTGAACAAGTCAGTGCAAAAAAGCAGGAGTAAACAAGATGGTGTTTTAAGTGCTAAAGTAAGGATGCGTCCATGTGGGCATACACACATACACACGTGTCCAAGGTCCATCACGTAATTGAATCAACCAAGAAATATGTATCCAGCATAGAAAGGAGTTCTTAACCCAGTAGTAGGGAATGGAAGACCTTTTGTTTTGGTGCATCAAACTACAATGCAGATTGTCCTTTGCCTTTAGCAGCAAGACATCTTTGGCAATAATTGTAATTAATAGGCTGAAGGAGCAGGAAATTTCTGCTAAATTAGTATTTACATACCACATACTGTTGGACACCCAGAGAATATCTTTCATTTCAGCAAAGCTGCTTGCAATAGAGATAGTCTACAACGGTGTTTTTAATAGCATCTCTCTGCCTTTGGAATGGCATTTTTCAGCTTCGATGGGAAGTATGAGGAGCGCTCTGTCGGTTTATGCGTGCACACACAATGCTGAGCTTTTTCTGTCTTGCAAACTGATCTTAGCCAGTAATATTTTCTTATTTTCTTATGTCCTTTCCTATGGTGTTGTTACCTTTCCTTTCCACTGTTCTCCCATCTTTTCCTCCCTGTCCTTCATACCCTGCCTGCAACCTGGTATCCCATGCCCTCCTCCCACTAGCTGGAAACCTTAGATTGCAGCAGATTGTAAATCCGGTCGATCCTCTGGAGATCCTGGCAGATGTGCACTGGACACACATCCGTGAAAAAGAGGAGGAGGAAAAAATGGTCTCATCCTCAAAGTCCTCCACCTCCAGAGGTAATATCCCCCAAGCCCCACACCATCAGTTCCTGCATCACGGTTGTAGCTGTTTAACTCTGTTGCCTTTGTGCCCTTCACGAGCAGTGTACTTCAGCAGGGGCAGCAGAAATTGAAATGAACTACTTTCCAATCACACTAAAATTACACTTGGTTAAACATTTTGTTTTCAGGTCAATTTCTACTTAAAATGACTGCTTTCTCCGCTCTGTGGTGGTGCAATTACTTCTGACCCGTTTGCCTGCTTTGGCTCCATAGCATTTTTCCTACCTGCACATACTATTTGATAGTGCTGGCAGTCAGCCCTTGGTAACTGACTTTGGGGATAGTTATAGAAGCTGTCATGTGCTTTTTGTGGCAGTGAGGACTCTACACAGCTTTAGGGAAAGGTGAAGGGCTGTGTTATGTAGCTACTACAGGAAGGGTTAAGCAGGGTCAGCTTCTGTATCAGGTATGTTTCTCTGCTGCTACTTTTCAAAGTGTGGTAGCTGCATGTGGTATTAGTAGGGAATGATGGGGTTCAAAGGGCTTGCAAATCTGATCAGTGGTGATTTTGACTCTTTGTGTTAAGATTTGTCAGTATATCTTTTTCTTAAAATTGAGATGTGACCTTTGTGAGTTGCCGGTTACTTAAAGGAGAAAGAAAATGCCAATAGTCTAGCTCTCTTGTAAGCACCTTTCAGGAGCCCTTGCTGACCTTATTCTAGCCTGTATTGCAGCATGTGTTAAGGTAAGTATGTCATAGATGCTTCACCTATGCAGAAGCCCAGGCTTAACAGAAGTTAACCATGCACAGTTGATGAGTAGTGGTCTTCTCTCAGGGTCTGTAACTGTTGTGTCAGAATTGTAGAGCAAGTAAGTGTACCATGGGAAAAAGTATCTTTTATAGCAAATGTTAAATTAAGTTGATGATTGATCTCTATTAAAAAAGCCTAGGGCTTTACTTCATGGTGCCTGTTCATATTCCATTCCACATAATTATCTTTTCCTCATAGTTCTAGTTGTTTGGGGTATTTTTTAAATCCAGGTTCAACTTGACACACAGCTCCAGATCAGTTAGGCTCTGTTTATAATTGCCATTTTTAGAATGCGCTGGGATTTTGTGGTATGGTATCTGCTCCCTTCAAAAAAGAGATGGATATTTCCTTCCCACTCCAACCACAGAAATAGGCTGTGTTCAGTTGTCAGTATCGCTAGAGTAGTTGCCTAATGAAAGGCAAAGTAAAAAATGCTAACACAGTTTCATACTCTTACTACAGTTAAGATCACTTTAGCTTCTGCTTAAGAGTCTGTAGCACTATAGTTTCTGAATTTTTCTTTTAATTTGCATTTTATAATTCTTGTTTTTCCATAGTATTTGTACAGCCGCCAGGAAAAGATGATCCTACCAAAATGGATTTTGTGGTCTTTCCAACTTCCTTTGGGAAGGAAGGCAGACAACATTTCCTTTCCTTCCTCTCCTTTAAAACTAGGGCAAACTAGGACAATCCTGATCACTAGATTAGCTGCTTCAATGACTTTAGTATTGCAAGTTTGTGCAGGCACATCAGCACTTTGATGTTTTTAAAGGGCTGTCACCAATAGGTACTTGTGGATATGCTGTAAGTTTTTAACCTGAGTTCAACAGACAGATTTGTTCCTGCCTGAGCTGTGTTCTGTGATCTGAAGTGCTGGGAGAGCCAATCAGTAGCAGCGGCGGTAGTGTTTGATGTGAAAGCCTGGGATAGCCTGAAGGTACACAGAAGCCCCTCTCATGCTGGGATGCCCCTCTCCTGTTGCTCAGCTCTTACATCTCTTAGTTTCCCTCCTCTGCAGTTTTAAGTGGAGCACAGCAGTAGCAACTTGCTGGTGAGATGCTGTGTTTGTCTCTGCCGTCTGTATTTCCTCTAACATTACGGATCCTAAAGAAAGATTAGGCCTGTGATGTTTGTATGTTATCTTGATTTAAATCCCGAGTCTGGAATCATTTGTTTAACATCTCATGGGTTTTATTCCTGTTCGCTACTGAAAATTTTCCCTTTGTCACTCTTCTATTTTAGATGCTTACTGATGGTCTAACTTATTGTTTTTCAAATTCAGCATCCGACCTTCCCTCCGTACGCCATGAGGCGGTACAGGCGTGGCTGGAGACGGTCCCTGGAGGTAGTTTGGTGATGTTCTATGTATTCCAATGCACAATAACCCTGCCCGTCTCTTCTCCATGCCTTCAGCAGCTGAGCTGGTACTTTAACCCTGGAACTTACGGCCCTGTCGCTACTGCATGACTGGACACGGAGGGAGGGAGGAAGGGGGAGTGTGCATGCACGCCTTGCTCAGACAGTCCGTTCTTGCATGAACTCAACATTTGTTGTAACCTTCTGAAGGCAGGCCAAACAGGGAGGTTATCTTGGGTGTGATAATATAGAAGGAGGATCTAGCTGAGTTGCTTCTGTTTGCTCTGTAAACTGGAGACCGGACCAGTTATTCTTCCCTTAGCTCCTTGACTAAAAGAACATGGGGCTTTCTTGCAGTTGAAAGATTAAGTGACAGAGTGCTTAAAACAATTGTGGTTCTCTGTAGCAGCTGCCAACCCCAGTTATCTGGTGAAGAAAATGGAAAAGAGTAAGGTTGAAGCTGGGATCTTTAGGCATAATGGTGCCTGTTGTATCTCCCTTGACTTGAGGTTCGTATTATTTAGGAAGGTCTCAGGAAAGTTGCAGGATGATAGAGCTCAGCTGCTTTTTTTTATGTGGTCCTCTCAACTCTGTTGCAAAACTGCTGAATATGAAGATTCTAGGATTAAGAGTAAATTATGTAAAGAGGTGAAGGTATCAAAACCAGTGCAACAGTGGTAGTTTGTGGCTAAGTAGTTGATGTACAGCTAAGTTGCTTTGGCACCTTAGAATAGTAGCTTGCCTATAAATCTTTGCTTCTGCTGCTGCTTTGGCAAGGCAGCAGTGTTTACAAGAATTCTGCACATGATGCAGTCTGCTCACAGCTGCTAGCTGATGTGAACCAAGTGCTGATCCTGGTTTCTGGCTGCCATAGCGTGTAGCTTCTGAGTTATTGTGTGACAGCTTTTGGCCTCTTGCTCCTTATCCTAACTGCATATACGTATATGCACAGTATATGTATAATGTAACCAGCCACCTGCAGGCTCTCCATGTCCCTCAAGATGGGATACACCCTTGCACCAAGTTGTTACTTATCTATGCATCTGTAATATTCTGTTGAGTTTTGTGTACCAACCTATTTAAGAATTTATTTTTTTCCTCTCTTTTACAACACTCAGTATGTGTGTCATGTCAGTTCACAATTTCTGGATCTGAAAACACACATACATGTGGTGGTATCAGATATTCCTAACATCACAGTTACATTTTTGCAAGTTTTGTTTAAGATTACATATATTTGCTGCTACCGTAAAACCATCCTGTGACATTATTATTTCCAGAATAACATAAGCTACTGCATACCTAAGCAACAAACAAACTGGAACACAGTTTGGCTTTGTTCAGTAGATTTGTAAGTGCCCCTGTGGGCAGTCCAGCCTTTGCCGTGTGATTTAGTCTCCTATGCTCAACATCTGTAAGATTCTGGATTGTATAAGCCTCTGAGTAAGTAAGTAAGTGAGTAGGCCAGTGCTTTATCACCTGTAAGTGTAACTGCCTTTTTACAGTAGTTGACAGAAAATAAACTAGCTCATATGTTTGTCTGTCTTGGTACTACGAAGGAAAAAAGTGTAGAAAGAGAAATTCTCAGGTTGAATGAAGAAGACAAAAAACTGAAGGCTGATTTCAAATAACCTTGTCTTAGAGAAAGAGGAGAGGCTGCAAGACCTCAATCTTGGGGAAGGGTTGTTTGTTTTCAAGGTTGTCTCAATTAGCAATGCTAGCATGTAAACAGTTCCAGAAGCCAGGTCTTCACTAGTAAATAAAAAAGGTCAAGATCCCTAACTTGGGAGAAAGCTGGCACAACATGATTCACTCCCACATGACTGTGGGTTTTTTGCCATTCAGAGTTAAGAGGCTGCATCCAGACTGGTGGTTGGAAATAGCTTCTAGCCCTGCCATGGGAACTAACTGCACCACTTAATTTACAGGCATAGGTGCAACCAAAGAAGTTAAATATATGTCTGTTATTGTCTTTTATACACAATACTATGTGTGTAATTAGCAAACATGCACAATAATGTATGGTGATTGTGTACACATTTGTAATAAGATAGACAACAGAGTTAAATGTCTACATGTTGCCAAACATGAATTGATGCTAACACATTGCACAAATCTAAGAATGTACCTGATCGATTCTACTGTGGAAAAAAAATGGAAGTGCGCATTTTTGTTATATTTAAATTATATTTTATGAAAATGCTTAAGAAAAAAAAAATTAAGAAAATCATCCGGAGGAGTACAGATGAAACAAGATGTCACAAGGTTTAGATTTTTTTTAAAAAGTATCATTTACTAATGAAATTTAGACTCAGACTTTGATTCTCTCTCCTTCTGTAGTTAAATCCCTTCACAAGTAGTAATGTCAAATGCCCTTTTCAGTGTTACAAATTCAAGAATCTTTATATTGACCCAGCAAAACAAGTTATGATCTGTAACAGAAAAGGAAGTATTGAATATATAATATATCTGTTTAATTACTAAAAAATATCTCAGTTAATTTTTGTCCTAGTTACTTGTACAGCATATCAAGTCTCTTAGACCCTTTTACCTACCTTTTACCATAACTGCACAGAGTTAAACAGTTTCCAAATGTAATAACAATCAGTCCTAGATTCTGTCCTTGACTTATGCCCTCAAAAGGCTGTTTTGATTCCAAGGTGAACAATTGTGGTACGTTGTGAGATTACAATTTTCACCTAATACACATACACTGTGAAGTAGTGATAAATGTTCTGGTGTGGTGAAGAAAAAAATCATCTCCCTGGAAAACAGTAAACTTTATTCTGGTTTGATGTCTTCCCAGTCCCCCTTCTTGTTTTATTTTTCGTAAGGCCTCTTGCTCCAAAAAGCCTTGGCTGCTTTCACTGCCAGTGCCTTGGAGACTCCCCAGGGGCAGGTGTCCTGTGGGTCATTGGGGCCCGGAAGCATCATTTCATGATAGATGTCTTTCCAAGTGACACGTTGCAGGATTTCTTGTTTTGACAGTAATTAATAAATATCTCCACTATAAACCGTTGGTACACTTCAGTGTAGAACCTTTTCACTGTATAGTGTTCTTTTTCTCTTTTTTTTCCTTGATATTTGGATATGTTGTAGCTCCATGTGAGGATAATTATGTGGAGGACGAGCTGGGCACAGAGCCTGCAGACACAGAAGGGCAGGCAGGTGAAGAGGGAGACACGGGTGCAGAGCTGGATGATGGTAGGATACCACCGTGCATCGTTGAAATGTGTTACGTGAACAGAATTGTATTGTCAGAAAATACTTTGCATGAGGTTACTTAAACCTCATTTTCAGTCATGTAAGAGTTTGTTTCAAATAGTCAAGGGGAAGCCAGGAGTGAAGGACAAAAAACTTCAGAAGAACCTTATGCCATGGGTTGTAGAATATATTTCTTTTTTTCTCTTGCCACCTGCTAACTAGAGGGCTTGGTCTTGTGC